GAAAGAGAGCGTTCATTGTGGTCTCCAGCATTTGCTGTTCCTCTTTTTTGACTGACTGTGATCAGAAGGAAAATACAGCACTAGGCAACGATACTGTTGGTACTTCCAGGCAACCAGCACCTTGCAGAGTCCAAAGAAAATGCAGACTGAGGAGCACTTCCAGGCATACTTTGAAAGAAAACTGTCCACTACCTTTCACAGAGTACTACAAATCCCTTGCATGAACAGACGGCTACGGTGCAGGTGAGTTCTGTGGCAGGAATTTGTCACATGTGAAGAAATTAAGGAGACTCTTCAAGCCCAAGTGTAAAAATGGTGCTGACTTTCCCCCAGCTGGTAATTAAAATGCTGAACTGCAGTGGTTGGTGACTGAAGCAGAACACCCCGTGACAGCAGCTCGCACCTGAAGCCTGTGAGATCAGCTTAGCGCTGCACTACCAGAGTTGTCGTTTGCAAATCTACGAAAGTGTCTGTTCACTTCAGGACTCTGATAGTGCCAGGGATATATGCACTGGAAAGCGAAGCTGCCAACAGTTGTAGTTCCCTCCTGTGCTTCCCTCAGCCCAGCTGTCAGACACAAGCTTTCATTTGCTTTTTTCTGATTTGTGCCTTTTTGATACTTCTAAATTTCGAAGAGCCTTTTTCTGTTTCCTCTTAGCTGGAAAGTTGCATAAGAGTCTGACGGAGATTGGCTGAACCACTTTGGCATTGTTTTGGAGCAACGTTCCTGTGTTCTTCGAGGAGAATGGGTGACGCTAGGGTACTGATAAAGCATTAGTGCTTCCAGAGTCTCATTTTTCCATCTGCCAAAATTCTCTTTTGGGCATTATACTGGGGGCAGAAGCATCTCCTCTGCCAGAGGAGTCCTGCAGGCTGCAGCCTCACCAGAAGGCAGGCTTTGCTGGCAGCACAGGAGAATTCCTGATGTTCTTCCAGCAAGGCAAATATAATACAAAATAGGAAGCCCATTCATCAGCTTCCCTTCTAGTTTTGTTTGACTATGAATACTCTCAGTTTTCTTTCTGAATCTCTTTTTGGATGCAGGGTGGACTGTCAATGGCTATGGCTGTGTCTACTCTATAAAGTCTTCCTAAGAAAGTAAATACAAAATCTCTGATTCATCATTTATCTGGGCTTTGTTTCAGCATGCGTGCTGAACAGATACTGAAACTTAAACTGTTGTTTTGAGACCATGGCAGGACTTGAGACTCAAGCCTTGCTCTGGGTGAGGTTCCACAAGGTGTGGTGAGCTAAGCTAACAGCTTGCTGCTGCCAGAAGGGACAGGACCACACAGGGAAAGGAAAGTAGGGGAGCCAGACCTCTCTCTTTCTCTATAGCTCTTCTATCAGCCCAGCTATGTGTGGGACTGCAGCCTAAAATATTGGGTCATGTCTAACTTAGGCTGCTGTAATTTCCTGGTGATAAGTGGAGGCAAACGGAGCCATAGTTTGAGTTGCTATTGTGTTTTCTAGTTTTCATTCACCTTCTCATCAAGATTAATTTCTGTAATAGTGAGATCCTTTAGATTGTGCATTCTGTTCCAGCACTGTCTGTTTATATATTAAAAAAAAAAAGAAGTGAGAAGGAGATTGGATGAGGTTCTGGAGTCAGAGAAACAAAATTACTTGACGGAAAGGGTTGAATTGTGTATAATTATGACATGTGACCTAGAGTTAGCAGTCTGTCCACCCAGAAACACCTGGTGCAACAAAATAAGTCTTGCCCAGAGGTCAAAGGAAGAATTTTGCTCTAGTCATAGCTAATATTATTGGAAACTTTATCATTGCCCTTGCTGCTTAGTAAGAAAATCTCTTTATTCCCTCCCCCAGCTTGTCATTCAAGAATCGTGTCTGCCTTGCTCCCTCATACTCTTTTCCCTGTTTCTTTTCACTTCCCTGTCTCATGTGCCTTCTCCATTTTGTATCCACTTGTCAGCCCAGCGTTTAGTCACCTTGACAATAAAGTGATGGAAAGAGACTCAACTCTGTAACGTTAACTGGGGAGCAGTCCCCACAGCCACTGTTCAAGGCTGCCAGAAACCTTGGGCAGACACAACTTCACTTATATTTGGTTTGTTAGTAGAGAATCGCCAACACTGGCAGGGGATTAGAAAGGGGAAGAAGGAGCACAGGGCTGTGGGGTTAGTCAGAGTTTACCTACTGGAAATTCTGATTCAAAAATGTATACACAAATTAAATCACGTAGGTCAAGTCCTGCTTGCATCCCCTTTTGAAATAATGTAATACGGGAAACCTTTGTGGTTTGGGAGGTGAGATTGGCTTGCCTAGTTCCACCCCCTCCCCAGATATAGTGTTTGAATGTTTTTCCTCTAGATCAGAATAGGAGGAACTACAATACCATCTCCTATTTTTCTGCGGTGTTAATGAGGTCAATAATGGATGTGTTCAGCGCTCTGGGCTCCAGCCCCGACAGACTATCATACGAATGGCACACTGAGTATTTGCGATTCATCTGAATGGAATGCAAAGGCACGAGGGTTCCCATGTAGGATTCATGTTATGTGCCAGCCGCGTCTGCGGAAGGCTTACGCCCCTGTGGGTTCACAGTACGTGGTGCCTGCAGAGAAATAACCACAGCAGCGTGGCTTCTGTGCCTGCAGAGCACGAGGCCATGCAAAAGAGCTGCAGAGATGGAGGCTGTAAAAGCTGTCCCATATAGCTTAGCTACCATTGCATATAGCTTAGCTGATCTCATTCTTTTCAGCATCTCCTGGGGAAGGTTCGGAAAGATCGCTCTCAAGATGTTCCCTGTCTTCAGCTGGCTTTTTTCATATCAGTTCAGAGAATGGTTCTTGAGGGATGTACATGCCGGCCTAAGCGTTGGGATGTTTCAGATTCCTCAAGGTAGGCAGAGAGAAAAAAAACACTCTGACTTCCTTTGGTATATCATGCTTTTCATCATCTCTCTCCTGTGTGTGTTTCTGTTCCTTCTAATGTCATCATCAGGTTATGTGAGAACTTTACCCTTGGGAGTTCCTTAAATCATTAACCTATTCATTTGCATATTTGCGGGAGAACTTCTTCTCTATAATCAGATGTTACATGGTGTAATTTCAAGGACAGGGCACTACTAAAAATATAAACTAATAAAAGCATTTTCCTATATTGCAAACAAAGTAACATGCTCTTTAAAATCCACCTGGGAAAATCAGGTCTGTTAGGTACTCCCATGCATAACCACCCCATGAATAGGTGGCCTAAATGAAGAGGTGTTCTGGTTCTTTGTCTAATTTCTAGTTAGCGTGGGCCTGTGTTGTAAAACAACATTGGCTTTTGTCACTAGCTGGCCTGGCTTTATCAGGTCCTGAACGGGGATCTTCATAAAGGTTGTCAGGTTTTCATCAGCAAAATTTTACTTAAAAGTAGCAACCAAAGACAGAAAGCTTTCCCAATTCGCTTGATTTTTTAGAAACAAATTTTTCTTTTCCAGTGCTTTTAGGACTTTGGCTGACCAGGTTACCTCTGCCAAATATCAACGGCTTCCTTGCTGCGTTCTCCTGCTCGATGACATACGTTATATTTGGGACTTCACGTCATATCTCAATCGGTGAGGTTTATTTTGTACTGTGAAATGTTTCTGCAGGACTTAGAGGTTATATTCAGTGCTGTATCACAAAACAAGATGGCAAGATGTCCTATCTGTTTCATCTACTAAGCAGATGTTATTTAGGTGAGAATCCAGAGCTGTGTAGAATAAAGGATGAGCGCAAGCTGCTTCACATTTACCCCCAGGATGTTAATGTGAATCATGATTTGGCTCCTGGTCTTCTCCATGGTCTTCTCCAGGCAGTTTCTTGCCATGACTGAACTGCTGATGGGTTTACATTCTTAATTTCAGAAGCTAGATTGTTACAATGCTGTTTACATGTGAGAAGGCCCTTCATATTATCATAATGAGGGGGTATGTGGAGCTCTGGCCTCTTGGGTCAATTGGCAGTTCTTTCTCTGTGTCTTTCAGCCTTTCTGGCACCTCGTTGTAATGCAGCTATTTTTTGTGCTTTACATTAAATTCTTTTTGTTGTGCATCTGACCAGCTAAAGACTTCACTCGTGAAATGGCAGGAATCTGAAATTTGGAAATTTTAGGTACCTACTCAGATACATTAAAACTTTATTATATATGTGGACTCTATGTATGAATGAAAATAGACTGCCTCATACTGCAGAGACTGATGGTGGAGGGAAGAGATGGATGTGTGGTTTTAAGATAGGTCTTTGTTGCAACATCCCATGCAGTTCCACTTTCTCTTCTCTGTTCTGTTGGTTCCAGGCTCGTTCAGCATCCTAAATGTGGTGGCAACAAACGTTCTGAGCACTCTTAATTTCAGCACAACATTGTCCTTTCATGGCTCACAGGACAACTTCTCAGACCCTACATTTATGAAAGATTACATGAAGGTCTTGACACTTTCTGCATCAATAACGCTTCTGACTGGCATCCTTCAGGTAGAAGATGAATCTATTTTCTATCCTTAATGATGTGTCCTTATGTGTGTTCATACAGATGTAAGAATTGGTACTGCTTGAATATTCTTACCACAAACACTAAGCTCAGCACGTTTGAGTTCATATGTTGTACAAAGCAGGACATAAAGGTCTGTCTCTTCCTCTCATGCTGTCTGAAAAAGATATGATAGGTTAAGATTCAAGTGGCCACGATTAATAGGTGTGAAGTAAATTATTACTGTTTACATTAACCAGTTCTGCAATATGTTGACCCTTAGGTAGTCCTACATAACTGCACACACTTGATGCAAAGTGTTCCTATTTGGGTTTGGCAGTGTCTTACTTAATTGTGCGTAATGAAAACAGTGTGTTCAAATAACTATCCATCAGGTACGGACGTCAAGAGTCATGCTCTTCAAATACAGAAACAAGAAGGGCGGGGTTAGACATTGATAATTATATCACGTCTCGCTTCTCTTTTATTCCATACAGTTGCTGCTAGCTTGCTCCTGCCTGGGGTTTGTAACAACGTACATGCCGAAGACACTCGTCGATGCTTACCTCGCTGCAGCAGCACTGCATGTCATTGTATCACAGTTTACCTTTATCTTTGACATCATGATTGTCTCCCATAAGGGCCCCATGAGCATCTTCTATGTGAGTACATTCATTATTAGTTGAAGCAATGCATGCTTCTTGGAGGGGAAAGAAAAGAACGGCTTCAGAAATTGAAGCTAATTTCAGTCTAAGTCAGTTGCTAAGGGATATTTGTGCAAGGCTCAGCTGTGGTTTACGTCGCCTTCCCCTTGTCTTGAACAGTGTATGTGTGACATGCGAGAAGAAAAGTCTGTGTGCATATTTTTAATTACTTCCTGCAGTGCTATAATGTATTTTCAGCATGTCTATAATTGCAGTAGAGCAAAGGTTCGAGGAAAAAGTCCTTTTTTCCTTAATAGATCATCATGGGCAAGCTATTGGACACACAGTATGTTTATCATCTGACTCAGAAGCAGCAGACTCCAAGCTAAAGACAAGTTAAAGCTAATTCATTCTAACTGACTCCAGTAATATCAATCAGACAGCTTGAGAAAAAGGTAGTGTAGAAGAGAGAAGAATGACCGCACTATATCTGAGCTGTTTGTGGCAGCGTCTTCTCTGCAGATGCCAACAGATGAGATAGATTTTTTTTTTTTTAAATACAGTTTTTCTGTTAGCATCTCTCTTCTTCTAACTGCAGATACCACTGTAGCAGAAAGGATGAGTTCAAGTGTCAGAGCAACCTCTGTCAATCTCCTGGAATATAGAAATAGTTGTAGTATGCCTCTGATCCTCTCCATAATGATTCTTTTTCAGAATCTCTTTCATTTCCTTGTGGCTCTCCCAAAGGCTAATGCCACCGGCATATTGCTGTTTTTGCTTGGCATGGCTGCACTACAAGCCAGTAAATCTATCAGGATAAATTATAAGCGTAGTCCTGTTGCATTTCCTATGGAACTTGTCTTGGTAAGTGATCTCCAAAATGCCATTGTGATAATTGAACTAACAGTGAGTATAATACACTTTATTTCAAAAAACATTTCAAATATTACTTCAGGATGCTGTTATATTTACACACTGAATCTGTGCTTAAGTCCTTTCAATACTCCTGCAAGATTAACCGTCTTTAGATGTCTTGTGTACAATTTCAGGAGTAAATGCTGTATAACCTTCGGTATTGCTTCTTGTTTTCTTTCCTAGATTATCACAGTCACCATTATTTCTAATCTCATTCATTTTCATGCTGAATCTAGTAGCGCTGTGGTCAGTATGATTCCTGAGAGGTTAGTAACATATGCTGTTTATGAGGTTGTACTTCTGAGATAGGGCAGAAATGTTTCAGCCTGTCCTTGAAATCTGACATGGGCTGAGTTTTACTGGGAAGCACAGCTGTAGGGATAACTCTTCAAGAATTTGAACTGCATCATCATTTCTGAGCATATGCAGAATTCAACCTGCAGCTTTCTGTATTAGATTCGGGTTTTATTAGCACACAGAGGAAGGAATTTGCATTTTTGGTGAGGTGGAAGTCTTACAGATTGAGAGCATCCCCTGCAGGGTGCTGGGTGCCTCTGATGAGGATCCTGGGTTTGGATCTCATCTGTTCTCTGATCCTTTAGGTTTCTGCCTCCTACACCGCCAGTTTTATCAAACCTGAGAGAGATCATACTGCATGCCTTCCCCCTTGCTATTGTAAGCTATTTCCTTCTCGTTTTTGTTGGAGAGAGGTGTGCTTCACGTCACAACTACGATATTGCCAGCAACCAGGTGAGAGCAAAACTGCCTCCTAGGCCAAGAAGCAAGTTGAACTCGACTTGCAAAGCCACTATGGGACAGTGGTAGAAACACAAGGATGGAGTGAATGTGCCAGATGATGGGTTGGGAGCAGCTTGTTACCCTTCCCTACAGAAAGTGGATGTTATAAGCCAATAATGTGAAGGCCAAAACATGGAATTCTTTGACCAGGAGGGCTTTGCATGTTCCCCGTGATTGGGATGAACCTCACACACACACAGAGTGCTGCAACTGATCCCTGAGGACCGTTGCTGTCGTGAATCCATGAGACTATAAAAGCATGATAAATGAATAGCTGCAGTTGTGAATGGCCAGAGCAGCTGTAGTGCTTCTCTATATGTGGCTGCTATCCCAGCGTATGGATTGTCTGCCGAGAGGGATTGTTCCGAGAGGCTTTTCAGCTAAAACTGTGTTAGTTTCCCGTGTGCGAGAGTTAGTAAGCATTAGGTGTTTTGCACTGCTCCATGTTTAGCTTGTTGTGGTGGCTTTGGCTCTTTACTAGAATGGAACTAAGCCAGTAAGGAAGCTGCCCTGACTTCTCGAAGCCTCTGGGGATGAATATAAAGGGAACATCTTTTCCACTCAGCTTTTGTCCACGTGCTGTGATTTGCCACGTTAGCTTGAAAGTCAGTGCTTTATAGCTTTGGGGTTTGAAGTGGATTTCTTTGAAAGAAGGAATGGAATTTTGGGGTCCACGAGATCCTCAGCTGTGAAAACTGAGTGTCTCTTAAGAGAGCTCATTTAACCATGGGAGACCTTGCTTTCCGGAAGGTTTCCTGAGCTTAGCAACACTGATGGGCAACCCGCAAGTGTGAGCAAAAGGAAAGGAATTCCTGATAAACAACTTCTATGAAGGTCATTCATTCATTTGGATTTTTCTCTGCTTCCTTCTGTTTCTTTTTTACAGGACCTAATAGCTGTGGGGCTATGCAATATTTGCAGCTCATTTTTCAAAAGTTTTGTTGTCAGCTGCACTATTTCCGGAACTGTAATTCAAGAGAAGACGGGTGGAAAAACACAGGTGAGCTGGGCTGGAGTTGTTAAGCTTCCAAACTCTCATCTAATGCCACGGTATACAGAGTCTAGGCTGACATTTAATCTAAACAATTAGGGAGATACAACGTTACCTACCCATGCAACATGAATTCACATACCCTCTCTGTATGTTATATGATGTACTGTACTTATAGGGTATTTACATGATGTGCCGTGAAGGAAGCCAGGATTCTGTGGGGAGAATAGGATATGCAGTTTAAAACTGTATTTTAGTGAATATACCCAAAAAGCCAAATGGAAAATTGTTCATGCACCCTTTATTCTGCCACTTCTTAACTTTTGAGTACTTGACTTTGTCAACTTTTTTTAGGGGGGGGAAAGAGGGTGTAATATGTGTTAATAATACATAATAATGTTTTCATCATACCTCTTAACTGAATGTCTGATGCTTCACTGCATCACAGAAGTAATTTTGTTTAATAAAGAGTTTATTCCAAAGTCTGACTTGCAAGAGAAGTATCTTATTACTCAGGTGAAATTATACAACGAAAATCCTGCATTGTTCTGTTGTGCCTAAGAATAGTCCATTGGGGCCAAATTTATACATACAGAAAACTCTTTCAGCTTGAGTCTTCTCGAATTTGTACCAGGCATTGCAGCATACCTTTGTGAATTGTCCCCTGTTATTTTTCCCAGTCGGTGGTGTTACATGGGCCTGTTTAGAGAGGAGAAGTGAGTGGTTCTGGGAGGTCTCTCTAATGAAGTATTTCTGTTCAGCTAGCAGCAGCGATTGGAGCATCTGTGATGCTGGGGATTGCGCTGACACTAGGACGCTTTTTCCAGACAATCCCTAACGTAAGTGAACCTGAAATAGTTACAGCCGCAGCCTACTTACTCTCCAAGCATAAAATGAAGATTTTTCTAAGCATAATATGAAGTTTTTTTGGGAGAGTAAGGGATTATATCATGCTCTAGAGTTAATTGTTTTCAGGGATGGACCAAACCAAAACAATGGCTTTAAACTCCCAAATTTCATCAGCCTCATGTATTAGGTAATAAATATTGCATATCTCTCTCTCCCATCTCTCACTGATCAGTACAAGCTAAAATTCCTTGGCTAAAACTCGACTGAAATTTCACTGCCAGCCTCTATAATTTAAACATTGTATTTCACTTTTGATCTCGCATCTTCCAAGCTGTTGTGTAACAAATTCATGAGGTCCTCTCTTGCATCAGTATAAGTAGTTCCAAGATGGGTGCTTCAAAGTCTTTAGTGTAAAGAGGTAGATAAAATCTTCAAAATGGAGATTTGGGTTTAGTGTCTCTCATTCTAGCTTCATCTTTGAGGTTTATTTTAAAACCATATGGACTCCTGAACTGCCTTCTGTGGATTTTGCTTTGCCAGTGCAATAGAAACGTAAACATTTTGTTACCATAGATTATTCAGAGTACTCAGTTTTCCTCTTTTCCCTTAAAATTTTATGTAGGCTTTATTTTTTCCTGTAAGTTTTCCTAGGGAACCACTGACACAGAGCTTTACTTCCTGATTTTTTTTCCTGGCCTCTTTGTAAAATGGGAGAATTAATCCCTTTCCCCACACTAGCTGACAAAACACAATTTAACCATCTACTTCCCTTCTGTCTCCTCTTTGCTAAGAAAAAGGTTGTTTCACCAAAGGGTGTCAAACAACTTCCTCAATCTGGCAATGAACTACCCACGCTAATTGAAACCATTCTGTGCAACAGCGACTCTTAATGCTGTAGCTGGTGTTGGCCCTCCTCCGAGTGCTGCAGGAGGCGCAAGGATTCACTCAAGAACCCTGTAACAGAAATGACACAGAGCAATTCAAGAGGAAGCCCAGTTGTATTGGCAGAAGGGATTGGAAAATCCAACAAGAAGTTATTTGCTACTTTCATGTTGGTTTGCAGATCAGAGAACTGTTATAAGAGCTTTCTTTTCATCATTTTTATAGATACATACAAGATTTTAATTTCAAGCAGTTTCTCTCTTGTGGCTATCTGTTCCTTTGCATGTTTGTGGTTGCAAACAAAAAATAACTTTTTTTTTTTTTTCTGTTCTGCACAGTGTATACTGGCTGCTATTGTGGTCTTTAACGTGCTTCCTTTTCTTGAAAAATTTCTGGACGTCCCTATCCTGTGGAAGCGAGATAAGTATCACTTTGTAAGTGACAAGAAAAGCCACCTAGGATTTAGAATGTGCTGTAAAGGGAGAAATGGGTGTTTCAGCAGGGCAAGGCAGTTGGACATTCCCTTAGAAAAGGGATCCTTTGAAATATCCACTGAAAGCAGTGTATTGAAATCTCTACAAATCAATTTGGAATTACTTCGCTACAGGGAGAACTGATTATTGTTGTTGCTTCCCAGATCCCCCTTCCTGAGAAGGAAATTGTCTCGCTGTCAGCCGGGGTCACATTCTCATGTCAACTCTTGTGCAGGATTTCTCGTAAAGAGCAAGATCCCAATATAATGCGGTTTCTCCTGATAATTGAGGCCCCATTAAAAAGTCTGGAGAATTTAACTGTGATTTGTGATCCTTGTTTGCAACTGCTTCCAGGACTGGGTTGGTCTAGATGAGCCAACAAAGCTTTTCGTGTTACCATTTCTCGCTTTTTTTAATTTTGTCTGCAGTTTGCCAGTGCTGGGGCTGAGCTGGAGGTCATTTGACATCTTTTTACTGCTCATGTTCTCTCTGTCTCTTGCTCAAAGGTTATCTGGCTTGTGACTTTTGCTGGAGTGCTTTGTCTTGGCCTTGACGTGGGTTTAGTGATCGCCATGGCATTTACGTTCTTCATCATCACCGTTCGGTCGCACAGGTACTTGTCGCTTTTCTTTCTTAGAGTTGATGTTTTAAGAGATGTGACAATGAAAAAGCTGCTTCGTGTTTGTAAACACTTCAGTCAGGTCGTTCTGGAGGCTCTCTAACACTACCCCGAACCAGTAATCTTTTCGAGTTTACGGGCTCTGGACTGGTCCCTTCTGCAGGTGTACCACGCTCCTAAAGACTGTTTATTGTGGTGCAGGCATCCGCCAGGAGAGGTGATCTGTGCACGCACTTCTCTAGGAATAAAATGAGATGTCGTGCCTTTATTTCAAATCCATCCCTCAGTCTTTACTGCCATTTACCAAGCTGCCCATAACCTCAGCTGGTGATAGAGGAGGGAGGTTACACTGGGCACACATTACTCAGTTTATTAGCTGCTAATCCAAACAGCAAAATCATTCATAAACCCAAGCCACACCTCGTGAGATTTACCATGGTAGGGAGGTGCTTGTCTGCGTAGACTGGAGCCTCTAGAATAAGATGGAAAGAGCTGGGAAATAACCCTGTTGCTGCAAGTATTGAACTTCTTGTGATCTGAGCCAGAGTGGCTCTGAAAGAATACCTTCAGGATGAATTTCTGTTGCTGTCTGAAACTCACTGTATTCTTTCCGCTCAGTGTTATCCTCTTGGGTTTGCCTTGGGATTTAAGGAACATTGTGAGAGGGCATTTCTGCAGCCACTGTTGGGTTAAGTATCCCTTTTGTTCATATGACCTTCAGGGTATGTAACCGCTTATCAATTTCCTACCAGTGAGACCATTATGCTGACAACACTCAAAAAAGCTTGGGAAGTTATCTGCAAACCGATTGCTTTGAATAGAGTGTCTTGACAACAATTTTCCATACATCAGGGCCAGCAACCAGCCACGTTTATTCCACCCAGAGCCTGAACCAACCAGAACCTGCCCCCAAACCATGGAGCACCATTAGCAAAGCACGGTACCCAAATCAAAATATTCACCTTAAGAGGCAAAATGCTGCAGTAATGCTGCTCCCCTACTCAACCAACCTTAATTATGAATCAATAACTTTTTGTACTCACACCCTCCAAGTTCCAGTTGGTGTATCCGGTGAAGAGGAGGGAAACGGAGATGGAGCTTTTAGGAACAGATGGGTTTTCTCTGTTCTCTGTGAAAACCTAATAAACATCTTGTTTCAGAATGAAGATGGTGGTGCTGGGACAGATTCCAAACACGAACATTTATAGAAGTTTATCCGCCTACAGAGCCGTAAGAGGAAACAAAAATGTTCCATCCCTCTCTGTAATCCGGCTTCTTTTCTTGGGGGGTGACCATTCAGTCCATTTGATTCAAAACTTTGAAAACTGAAGAATCCTTAAGTAGCTGTAGTGTGCAGCGATTCAGACACCGAGCTCAGCCTGCTTGGGCCTTTGGAGCTCCCTGAGTCCATCTGTGCTGTCCCCACGGTGAAAGCTGCGCTGCTGTCACTTCCAGAGCTGTTTGGCTTTTTTTGCCAACACGTTATTTTCAAGACCTGCACCATACAGAGTTAGGCAATAAACGTAGTAGAGAGCTTTCCCGCACGGGTACATTCCCAATACTGTGCTGATGGATTTGCAAAAAACGGAACAAAATAAGGACAAGGTTAGTAAGACACGGGTATAGTGTACGTTTTCTGTAATGACCATTAAAAATAATTTGGCTTCTTTTATATTAGAGCAGCCAACTGTCATCTGTGATAGATCTGCTGGAGGTATGTTTTTAATTGCAAGAGAAGCAGATGAGTTTATGGTCCATGCTGTCAGTGCCACCACCAGCACGCAGTGTGGTCACCAGTGTCACTCTGTCCTTAGTGCAGGACCTTGCAGACTACAAGAGAGACAGGCAGGAGGGGAAAAATAGCCCCTGCTAGGTACAGCCCTCACAGTCAGAACTTTTGGTTTACAGGCAAAGGAGATTGAAGGTATCAAAATCTTCCAGTGCTGTTCTTCCATCTCTTTCGCAAACATGAATTGCTTCAAAAACTATTTGTTACACAAGGTAAATGGCACTTTTTCACTCAGCGGAAGTTTCTAAGAGCCTGCATTAGGGAGATAAAAACTCTAATAAAACTGCCTTTCTTTTTCAGATGGACATGAAAACAGTGCCTCTAGATGAAAGTGAAATGAGGGCTTTCATTTCACTTAGTCTGTCTGACACTACAGTGGAAAGAAAATGCTCCTGTGACTGTGATCCACCTCAACCCCCACCTAGGGTCAGCTTGAAAAGTTTATTGATCTAGTCTGATCGAGGTGCCTGGTTCTGTGTTACTGAGGTCAATGTTCTTAACTTGCCAGGACTGAAAAGGCTGTCAATGTTTATATAAAGCACATATATGTATTTGCTGTTTGAGCAAACATTACCCCTGTATTTCTTTACACAGACTTGACGTGATAGTGCAATGGTAGCTCAGCTCACTGGGTGATTTAACTAGCACTTGAAATATTTAACATATCCTCTGCTCAGCTGAAAGAATGGATTTTGTCAGGTGCTTCAATGGGGATTTTCCTATTTTTCCCTGTAGAATTGAGAGAATTCCCTTGCTTATGGTGAATTTGTTCCGCTGCCAATACTGCCAAGTGCAAGTACAAAATACCTCAAAGGCAGCTACGATTATCGTGATGAGAGGATTTCTCATCATTACTACACTTGGCTGCCGTGCATCTTCTACAATCTCTGAATTTTCTGAATTGCCTTAGACAATATATGAAAGGAACTTCAGGGAATGGACTGTCTTGAGAAGATGTTTTTCACGCAGTTATATGTGATTAGTAAAAGCCCTTGTATGAGAAATGTGTTGAAAGACAGTGGTCTGGAAAATGTGTGTGGCACCAAGGTGCTTAGGAAGTGACACATAATTTAACATCATCTTCTAAAGTGCAAAAATGCAGAGTGACTTTTCCTTCCTTGTGTTTTAAAAATTAAAAAAAAAAAACAAAACACATTTTGAACTATTAAGAAAGAAAAATCTATTAAATCGCTCCATTCTGGGACCAGCTGCCATAGAAGGAAGGAGATGAACCAAAGCTCTGCAGAACTGCTGTTGCTCAGAAAGGCAATGGCCAGGGGCAATCTTTTTTTTCCTCTTTTCTTTTCTGAAAGGTAGAAGTAACAAGTCAGATCCCAGTATCACGGGCCATTTCAAGGCGCGAAGAGCGAGGCACCGCTGTACTATTTGGCGGCTGAAGGCACTCTGCTGGACCACATCTGAGGCTTGCCTCAGTCACCTGCCACTCTGGTGGCTCTGTGTTATATTGAGTGTTATTTCACGTGTGTTTTTTACCCTGAAAGAAGAAATATCATATGATTTACAGTCCTGTCTTACTTGCAGCAAAAAATGTTCCACCTCCTGGGCCCAATTCTTCCAACCACTGGTGTACTCTCCATTTTCCACTGCAGATACCATATACAGAGAAACTGGTGAAGCGACGGCACGCGGGCAGCAGTTCCTCATCATCTTCACTGAATTTGGTGCGTTGGTCAAAGTGTGGAGACAACCTCAGCTCCAGGACGCTGCTGGTGGGAGCAGCGCAGTATCTGTCCTATGGACTTAGGACTGAAAAGAACGAGGGTGAAGAGAGAAGAGCCTGCCCTTCGCCAGGCTCTGCAATAGATAACTCCTCAGTCCGGTTCGAACAGCCGGTGCCTTTGCCATGTCCAGTTCACACCATTATTTTAGACTTCAGCATGGTGCAATTTGTGGATGCGATAGGTTCGGAGTTACTGCGACAGGTAAGCGACCTGACTGTATGTCAAAGTTTACCCAACATCTGACGTTTCTTGTTAGCCTAAAATGCCCTGCTACAAAACAACCCGCACATCTTCCAGTTGACCTTTAAGGGTGCAAGGTTTAGCTATCGAGTTTCAGAAATTAATAAATTCCCATAAAACCACTTTTTTTTTTTTTAAAGAACAAAAGCCTCACTTTCCATACAAAGGACATGCAAAAATCTGTCCTCCACTGGGAGCAGTTCTAGAACCATGTAAACTGAAAGCACATTTATAAAAATGTCTAATTTGGTTTTTTTCCATTGTGGCTGTTGATATTTTCTAGCTGAACACTTTAAAAAAATGCTCTTCTTTAGAAGTGTCAGATATAAACACTACCAGCTGTCTTCTCCTAGAGTGATTGTGTTGTTATTGCTGACTAGCTAATTAGCCTTTTCTTTGAAGTATGTCTTGAACTTTTAAGTCTTCAAGTGGGGATCCTAGCCAACGGAGATATATATTTAGCAAAAATAAATTTCGTGTAGCTGTGCTTCTCGGAAAGATACAGTTCCAGATGGATTCTTAGTCAGCTCTCTCAAACTCTGTAGCTCAATTTCAAAAGATTCTTGTTTAATACCAGGTTAGACTAACACCTATTAGGAATAATTGTGGACTGAGCTGATGTCCCTAAAATCCTTGAAGATCTATTTGCCACCCATTGGGAAAGGGGGTAAAGTCAAAGTCTTTCCAGATTCCTTCCAGCCCCATATTCTGAAATTCTGTGGTTCTCTGAAATAATGACTTTTGTTGCCTTTTAAAAAAGAAAATTAACTACTTTGAGATCTATTAATTACAAAGGGTCTGGCATTGAGAAATGCCAGAGGATCTATCCTCTCTGAACAGATTCCTTTAACACTGAGTTGATATATCTAAAAATGTTGAACATGAAAATTCAGACCACCAGAATCACGCTTGAAAATATAAGCTCCTCATTTACACGCGGGCATGGCATGTGTGTATGGAGAGATGTTGCAAGTGAGTCTGTTCCGGTGAGAACTCTTTGTGTAAGTGAGGAAATCACAGCGTGTGCTGCGCAGGGCACTGCAGGAGGGCAGCATGGGATCCGGCTGGCACCTGCCCTGTTCGGGAGTCAGCGGTCATCAACATCTTGGACATCTGTTTAGTGCTGAACTCAAAAACAAGATTTGAGATACCAGCATACGGGTTTTCTTCAGAGATAAAACACGCCAAGGGCGGTTTCATTTCCCAGTTTGTGTTTTACCTTCTAGTGCGCTTGTATAACGCAGGATTCCTCTAATGCCTGTATGGAATTCTTTCCACAGATCATCCATATGTTCCACAATATTGGCATTACAGTCCTTATCGCTGCCTGTCACTGTGAGTATAGGATTTGCTTACTAATATTTACTTCTCTCCAAGGACGAGTTTTAAACTTAAGTGAAATGTTTTAGCTGTACTGCTTGGTGTGATTTAGCCGCTTTCTTTATTTCCCCCCCATTTTTTATAGCCTCTGTGATAGCAGACTTCGAGAAGAGTGATTTCTTTGACAGCCGTGTCACCAAAGAAAGGTTCTTTCTAAGTCTTCATGATGCTGTGCTGGCTGCTTTGGACAAGCATCAAAATCCAGATGAGCTAGAACCTGCCGGGCAAGAGTTTGCTGAAGACCTGCAAGCTGAACAGCAGCAGGTAGGCTATTTCGCTTAACATTTAAGCCTTCGTGTTGTTAAATTATCCTGTCGGTAACTCAGACCTTGTCATGCAGCTGAGGAAATAGGGCAGAGCGGATGCTCTTTTGGATTCTCCAGTTTTTCACAGGTACTTGCCTTTTTGCAGCGGATCGATAATCCAATTTGTTTCTTTTGAGTCCTGTGTTCCCGTTAGGGGAAAAGCGTCTTTGTGTGCAGCCCAGAAAGGCATCCAGCTGCGCTCTGTGGCAGGGAATGGCTTTGTTGCATTTTAAATTGTTGACATTTCTCTGACGGAGCAAGGACCCTGCCAGGGCAGAGCAAAAGCTCCAGGTTTTTTATTTCCAGAGGTTACTGCCCCAGCTCCCTCGGGGCTGTTGGGAGAAGCGAAGGACGGTTCTGGCTTGATTTCCTCAAAAACTGAAGTTTATGTCTCTGTCAATCCTCTGCAATAATTTCTAAGCTCACTGGCTGTCTCAGCCAAGTTTGAACAGAGCAGATGGTTGCAAGTTCCAGGAAAAGCCCTTATTCCGAGGAGAAGATTCCAGTAATTGCCCCA